AAAAAAAAAAAAAAGAAAAGAAAATGTGAGTTAACATTTGGTGCATGAGACTGTCGTGGTAGAAGGGGAACGTAGGTGATTCATAGATAATTCATAAGAAATGCGTTAAAGGTCTGAATAACTTAAGTGAGAAGTTTGAGTATTTTTTTGGTTTATGGGGAGCAATCTGTATGTTCTTTGACATAAGCATAATTGCTAAAATGGAAGTATCTGATTCTGACTAAACTGTGCCACATGTCTGTGAGAATGCACATCTGATGAAACTACTACACATGTATTCTTGTCCCATGCCCTAAGACCAGTTATTTTAACTCCTGGTGTCTATAAAATGATACCTACTTGGGGAGACGTGGTAAGCAGCAAGATCAACACAGATCCATTGGCAGAGTTAGAGAGATAACGAAGAACATGTGGTCTGAAGACTTTTGACCGTCTGTCTAGGAATAGAGCTTACGTCTCTCCCTAGTAAGCAGTCATTTTATAGACAGTCCTGGAGTTAGGGAGTTGGAGTTTTCCCATGGGACAGATATGTGACTTCCCTGGCTGTATACTGTCAGGAATATACTTCAGGTAAGACTGTGGTGAGAGTTTTGTGTTATACCTTTGTTTCTTTTTTTTTTTTTCTTTTTTTCCCTTCTGTTTCCTACATGCAGGTTCAAGTGTCCTCAGTAAACCTTGTTCTGTGACTCCAGCCAGTGAGGCAACTAAGAAGAAAGTGGATGTTATTGACCTAACAATAGAAAGCTCTTCTGATGAAGAGGAAGACCCTCCTGCTAAAAGGAAATGCATCTTTATGTCAGAAACACAAAGCAGCCCAACTAAAGGGTTTGTTAATTTATAGTTCACTATTGTTCTTCACACTTGCAACTAATTGTTCTTCGGATAGCTTTGTAAATGTCTCTGAGAAGGTACATAACTCTAGAGGGCTATTTTAATTTGCCTTTGTTCAGTTGAAATATTTTCAAGTAAACACATTTATAGGAAAGCAAATTTTGATGAAGAAAATATATCTTTGGAAACTGAAGTTTGAGGTATTTTATCCTTAAGTTTTTGTTATTTTCTTGACTCATTTTATAAGAAAATTTGGCATCTCAGACCCATGTAAGTCCTGTGTAATGGAGTATAGAACTAGGAATAATTGATAAATATGGATTCCAGTTTTGATACTGCTCATTTGTTCTGTGGTCTCGGATGAAATACTTGTTTGAACCTCCTTTTTCTGTTCTGTAAAATGAGGTTAAATAATGCCTACTTTATAGGGTTCTTGTCAGGTTTCAGTGAGATAAAGAAAGCACTTGCTCTGTGTCCGGCACATGGTAATTTCTCATTAAAAACAGATTCCCTTTTCTTCTCACCCTCTCAGGGGAAAATATGGGCAAGTAAATGCATTCTAGCATGGATTTTTCATGATTTACCTGCCTGAAGCCATTGGCCCATAATAAAAGATGAGTCTGAGTGTTTTACAATAGGTGCTTCTTACCTACAGATAATGGATCATGCAAGGAAGTAACGGGTAGGGTTTTTGACAGCCTGTGGACACACTCTTAGAAACTTGAGTGTGTTTGTCTTATTCTTTGGCCTCTTTTTTTTTTTTTTT